TTCCAGCATTGAGGAAGTCAACGGTACTCTGATCACTTTGATCCCCAAAGTTCCTAAGCCAATGTATGTTTCTCAATTCAGGCCTATTTCTTTGTGTAATGTCATTTATAAGGGTATGAGCAAGATCATTGTGGATAGGCTTAAGCTTACAATGGAGAATTTAGTTTCTCCTTACCAAGCTAGCTTCGTGCCAAATCGTCAGCTTCAGGATAATATTATAGTAGCAAAGGAGCTGGTTCATTCTATGGGGAGAGTAAAAGGAAAGAAAGGTACAATGGCAATCAAACTGGACCTTGAAAAAGCTTATGATAAACTCAGTTGGAGTTTTATCTATAAAGTGCTTATTGAAGTTCAGTTTCCTGATTGGATGATTGGTGTTATAATGGCTTCTATAACTTCTAATCGTTCGAGGGTCTTGATAAATGGTGTGGCTTCGGATTGCATAGTTCCTCAGAGAGGAATTCGTCAAGGGGATCCAATATCTCCTTATATTTTTGTGTTGTGTGTTGAGAAGCTTTCCCACTTGATCGCTGGAAAAGTGACTATGGGTTCGTGGAAGCCTATTAGAGTCTGCAGAAGAGGGCCGAGTGTATCCCACCTTTTATTTGCAGATGATATCATTCTCTTTGCGGAAGCAGATATGGAGCAAGCTAAGGTGATTATGGATTGTATTAATCTCTTTTGTGAGATGTCGGGGCAAAGTGTTAGTGCAAATAAATCTTTGATTTATTTTTCCCCGAATACTGATACTCAAGTTGCTACAAGGATTGTCAACAGAATGGGCTTTAAGCGCACTTCTAGTATTGGCAGATATTTAGGCTCTATTGTTAAACAAGGGAGATATATTAAAGCAGACTATGGAGCTATCAAGGATAGGATACGTTCAAAACTGGATGGTTGGAAAAGCCATTGTCTTTCTTTTGCTGGTCGAGTTATTTTGGTGAAATCGGTCATTGCTGCAATCCCTTCTTTCCATATGCAGAATGGTCTTTTACCAGTAACGTTTTGTGATGAAATTGAGCAGATACAAAGAGCTTTCATTTGGGGAGATCAGGATAGCAGAAGGCGGGCTCATTTAGTAGCTTGGGATCAAATGTATAAACCCAAAGATAGAGGTGGTTTGGGAATAATTAACCTTCGACTCCAAAATGAAGCTTATATTCATAAACTGGCGTGGAAGGTGTTAACTAAGAAAGATGATTTATGGGTTAAGATTTTAGTAGCCAAGTATGGTAGAGGTCAAGACTTAAGGAGAGGTATAAAGGCAAAATCATATGACTCTAAACTTTGGCGTGATCTTGCTAAATGTTGGAGTAATTTCCTTGCTGGTCTTAGATGGGAAATAGCAGATGGTTCTGAAGTAAAGCTTTGGACTGATAACTGGTTGGGATGGGAGGAAAATTTGCAGCAGTTGTCGAGCAATCAGGTGCCGTGGGAGGAGAGTCAGAAATCAATTGCAGATTACATGGTGGATGATGGTTTCCGTCTTGAAGTTGTTCATCAATTTCTGGAGTCAGATTTGGCTGATGCAGTAACAAATCATCTCAGGCTTATTCCAAGGAATGGGGAGGATAGATTAGTTTGGATCAATAATCATCACTCAACTTCTTTGGTTAAGGTCGCTTACTGTAATCTTATAAACTTCCCAGCAGATGTTCACACTAGCTTATGGAAAAAAGTTTGGTCGTGGAATGGACCAGAACGAGTGAAAGTGTTTATGTGGATGACTTTGCTTGCTAAACTTTCAGTGCGCAGCAGAACCAGTAAGTGGAGCGGAGGTTCAAATGTCTGTCCCAGTTGTCCAAATCATGAGGAAACTATTATTCATGTTCTTCGTGATTGTAGACATGCTAGGAAAATTTGGCAATCTTGGTTTACAGGTTCGATACCCAATTCCTTTATGAATTCGAATTTGCAGGATTGGTTGACTTTAAATATCGATAACATGTGGTCCTCCAATAAAGTGAAGGACTGGAGGGATATTTTCTTTACTACTTGTTGGTTCTTGTGGAAGTGGAGAAATTTGGAGATCCATGAAGATCATTTCTGTCATGATGAGCAATCGCAGGCTTCAATTTGGATGTTTGTCCAACAGATTCTGCAAGCCCGAATTTATCAGCGCCGTGGTGATTCCAACGATAGCGTTTGGACAGCCCCCAAGCAAGGGTGGGTTAAGTTGAATTGTGATGGAGCTTCTTCTAGTGGCATGAAAAAAGCTAGTTGTGGTGGTATATTAAGAGATCACAATGGATCCTTTTTGGGAAGCTTCTATTGTAATTTAGGTTCCTGCAATCCTCTTGATGCAGAATTATGGGGGTTACTGAAAGGTTTGGAACTGCTTTGGGGAACAGGATTAAAAAGAATAGAGCTAGAATGTGATTCTAGCCAAGCCATCCAGATGTTAAAGGAGCAGCATAAAGATCCTAGGGACTCTCAAGTCACTAGCAGATTGAGATTATGGTTAAAAGCAGATTGGACTATTCATCTTGTTCATACCAAGAGAGAAAACAACAAATGTGCTCATTGGTTAGCTAAAGCTGGGCAGACTAATAATCTCCATTTCAAGATTTTTAAAGATCCTCCTCCTCAGTTGATGGAACTTATAGTTGTTGATGCTAAAAATATGTCTAGCTTTTTAGTTTCTGATTTGTAATTTCTTTCTGTTTCTGGGGCTTAGCCCCTCTTTATTTACAAAAAAAAAAAAATTCATTTATTATATATGTTTATGTATACTATCACAATCTCAATTAGTTTTTCAATCAATAATCATAGTTCTATATTTTTTTCCCTCTAAAATGAACTCTTACTTTGGAAACCAAATTCTTTTTCATATGAGTGAAGTTGTGATGCACTTACAATTGAACCATTATACATAACTCAATTATTGATTTAAGAAGCTCTAAGTCAACCAGAGTTGTAGCCTAATAAGTATGGTCCAATTGTTGAAAAAAGCAGGAATTTAAAATATAACAAATTACGATCAAATTCAAGTTTCAATAAAACAGTAGATATGATTGTGATTTATTTGAAAAGAAAAGAAAAGCAACACGTTTGGCATGATTTGAGATTTAAAATTTGAGACGTGTTTTGAATGATTTAATTGTAATTACTTATTTATTTTTAGAATTTAATTACTATTAAATTTATTTTAAGAAATTTTCTTATTTTTAGGATTTTAAATTTTGAATTTTGAATTAATTTGTAATCAGTCTATAAAAGGGTACTTAAAGACCCCTATTCTAGGAGTTGAATTTTGTTATTTTTGTTAATAGAAATTGAGAATAAGAGGTTACTCTCTTATGAAATCCTAACTTTCTGTTTAGTCACTTTTCTATGCACTTTCACTATCATTCAGTATCAGAGCACTAGGTTGCTTTTAACCAATGGCTGAACAGAATCGAAGAGATTATCGATGGCGGAGTCGTGAAGGCAAGGGATGTGGATTCGTTTCTAAAGAAGACAGATAATTGCGACAGATAGACCTGCGTGACATAGAAAATGAAGAGCTCAGAAGGTGGATCTAGGATTTGAAGCGACAATTTGTGGAAGCGCAGATCATGAAAATTCAATTTTTGGAGTGACTACTTGTGCGGACATAGAGCAGGAAGATTCAAGATTTAGAGCGAGACTTGTGAAGGCCCATTGAGGACATCAACCCCTTAGGGATTCTAAACCAGGGATAAAATTGGAAAATACGACTTGAAAATCAGTCCACTTTTCAAGAAATTAAGATGCAACTCAACATTCTTGACTCTGGAATTTATGATCATAATCCAATTTATGATAATCATCCGATCTACAATGATTATTTAGTTTTATGATAAATCTAATGGGGAATTAGATAATGGAGATTTAATCGAGGAAGAATTATCATTTTTCTTTCCACCTAAAGAGATTAAGATCAGTGAAAATAAACAAGATTCGAGGACGAATCTTTTACTAGCAGGGGAGAATGATGCACTTACAATTGGCTCATTGCACATAGTTCAATCATTGATTCAAAAAGTTCAGAGTCAACCAGAGTTGTGGCATGATAAGTATAGCCCAATTTTTGAAAGACACAGTAATTTAAAACATAACAAATTATGATCAAATCCAAGTCTCAATAAAGCAGCAGATATAATTGTGAATTGTTTGGCAAGAAAAGAAAAGCAACATGCTTAACATGATTTGAAATATAAAATTTAGGACGTGTTTTGAATAATTTAATTATAATTATTTATTTATTTTTAAAAGTTAATTACTATTATATTTATTTTTAAAAAAACTCTTATTTTTAAGATTTTGAATTTTAAATTAATTCATAATTAATCTATAAAAAGGTGCTTAAAGACTCCTATTCTAGGAGTTAAATTTTATTATTTTTGTTAATAAAAATTGAGAAGCAAAAGATTACTCTCTTATGAAATCATAATTTTCTACATCAGGTTGATTTGAGTATTTAACGGCGCTATCAATGTATAATCTATTGGATCTATAGCCACTATTGATATAGTGGGGCAAAAAGATCAATGGTCGAAGAGAGTTGTTTATATGCATTATTGGTGACAACAATGGGCCTTTATTCTCAAAGCCCAAATATTTACTCAAAAATTCACTCAAAAGCATTTTTATGGTTAATCGAATTAAATATAAACAAGTGATAAATAAATATTTTTGCATTTTCAAGCATTCAGGTTCAAAACTAATTATTAGGGACTAGTTAGAAGCTCAGCAGATAAGGAGAGCTTAGGGAATGTAGAACCTCGTGTCAGCAATGTTACAGTATATACCAACTAGCCCAAAATGCATCATGACGCATTTAGAAGGCCTTTTGCAAGGATGTTTATTAGCATGGCTTCAGCTAGACAGCTGTAAGAAACAAACATTATTTAGGCTCATAAAGTGGGCAACAAAAATGAGTCATCCGTTGTTGCCAAAAAACAGAGTCACCTGAGCTTTTGCGACAAGAGATCAACCAACTTGTGAACCAGAATAGAAAGTTTACTAGGCATGCACCAATACCAGAGAAAACCTCAATCAATAGCCGATGACATGTTGCTTACACACACAATTACACTATTTGTCAATATACCAGAACCAGAATGAAGTTGAAACTGTGTTCTAAAACTGAAATCAACTACTCTTATGGTACAATACTAAAGCCTGTGACTCTGAGCTTCCGACTTAATAAAAGTAACACAATGTAGGCAACAAGAAAATGAGACTTCGGGGAATCGGGGGTAAACTGGTCAGGAGTGCTCACAAAATTGAAAAGCTTTCACACTACTCTGACTGGTTCAAAAAATTAAAGTAATTTGATACACCTGCAAAGGAAAATATAAAAAAAGCAAGAATCAATTTGACACATTATAACAGAATACCAAATTGTTGAAAAAACTTCAAGGGAAACATGTTATTGATAAAGTAGTACCAGTACGAAAAACAAAGCTAGTGGGAGACAAAAAGAACACTAGACAGTTAACCCTAAAAAAATTCGAACAATCACAAAAAGATGAAAGAAATAGAATCGTCAGCTCATCTTTATAAATTGGCTTGCCTATCATGGAAACATTGAACTCAACCAACTTTATACAGATTTACCATATAAAGTTAAACAGATATTAACAACTAAATACCAGTCAACAAATCCAAATTTTCAATTGCATATATAATAATTTTCGCTTGTGACTCTCATAAAATAGAATATCTAGAAAGGAACTCCTATGACAGGCAGTAAGGAAGTCATTGAAGTAAATCACCTGAAACGAACCACATTGGAAGCTCACGCAGAAGGCTTGATACCCCTTCTATATAAGGTGTGAATACGGGAAAAAGTAAATTCTATCAAGATTTCTCTTCTTTGCCTGCAATCTAGGGGCTTCGAGTGGAGGAGCTGATTACATTTAACTATCACCAAAAGTAATGATCTGCCCGAGTGCGAGACTTGCACGAAGCTGCATCAACAAAGAAAATTTACAAAATGACAAAGTATAAAACAAAACCAGTTTCGAGTGAAGATTAAAGGACCTTCACATCCATGCAAGGATCATTGACGATCCTCTTGATTAGAGAAACAATGCCAAGATCACGCAGTTTTACAATCCGACTGAATGCACCAGGACTTGCAGGAAAAGTGAGATTTACGATGACCCAAACAGCAGATGTGCGTAAATGACTGTCATTACTCTGCAAAAACTGGCTGAAGAAAGAGCGAGACCCATTTTCTGCTTGTGGAAAGAGTAGCTGCATTATGGCTTCTTTATGAAACTCATTTCCACTTGCAATATTGCTGAGTATGTACATCCCCTGCAGAAAATAAAAACAATGACATAATAATCAGATTGAAGAACAAAATTAAAAACAATCGCTGTTTTCTCTTTCATATGTTTGTTGTGTTGATTTGTTATTTATGTCCTGCCAGGAAAAAAAAATAAAAAATTGTTCACCAGTTATACTTCCCTTTGTTATTTCCTAGAATATTTATACGAGGCAATTTTAAGTAACAACACAGTAACAATAGTTTTTGTTCGTATCTTAACATAACATAATCATCAACAAATTTATATCAAAATGTTTCTTCTACGTTATTAATGGCTTGCTAGATGTATCATTCAAACAGATTGTCTTGTTACATGAAAGTATCAGTAAGCATACTCAAGAAAATTTATGAATAATGCATTCTCCAAAATTTCCTAATCTTCTCTATGATATTCCCCAGAAAAACATAAACAGCACCATGTTCCCCAGGTGAAGTAATCTAAAGTAAATAATTGATTGACCATACAAGTAGGAAAAATTGATGAAAGTGGGTCTGTTGTTAGCCCGTAAACATTTTATACAATTGATATACAGTGGTATTAAGATATTAAGTACTTTTATACAATTTGAGATTCACATTTATCTTCCAGCAAGTAATTAATTTGACACTAACTTGGGTGTGATTCTGAAGTAGGAGATTCCATCCACCTTTCCCTCTCTCATACATATAATGTAAACCCAAAAAAAGGGAGGAAAGCCATAGTACAAAAAAGGAGGTCCATAAGAATCATAAGATATCCTAACATAATCATAATATTTATTATTACGTCATAATATTGATACCAATGCCAATTCCAATGACTAAATTCAGCTAATGACTAAATAGTTTCAAAAGTTGTTTCCAACCTGTATCCCAATTTCAACTTTTGAAGATTTTCGCAATTGCCTTCCAACAGCATGCAGTAAGATACCATCTTCAGCAAAAGCATATTCAACAGAATCCATACATCCATCAATGAAATTGCGAACAAGGGCCAGAGATTGTTCTTGAACAGAAGGCTCAGGATCTGCAGAGTATACAGAACAAATGACGACTTTTTATGGCAGGCACCATTCAATCAGAAAAGTATAAATATATATGAACTGACAATGAAGATCATTACCACAGATAAGGCTAGCTACTGAAGACACTGTCAACTCCATAAAAATTACTTCCTTACACATCTTATCCGCAAGAAATACCATGTTCCTCAAGGCCCATACAGCATTTAACCTTAAAGACGAATCCATAGACTTTGTCAGTTGGACAAGCTCTTTAATGCCTCCACATTGTATAAATGTCGGCTTATTTGGAGTAAAGTCAACCACTATGTTGCTAATAGCACCGAGGGCTGCAACCTGGAAGACAACATAGAAAAAGCTATGCTTGCTTAATTTTAACAAAACTAACGAGGGAAAACCTCCTTAAATATGGTTAATCAGAAAGTATAACTTTTGAAAAAATATTAGTGTGTTGGGGAGAAAGGGTCATGTTGGATGTAATAAAAAGTAACCTTCACATTATCATCAATAAATAGGATAATATATATGGCATTTGTGATAACCTCATTTAGAGCAAGATACAATACTTCTCGTGCTCAGCAGTTTGAGTTTGTTCAACAATATGCCATATTTTATTGTAACATATCCTTTTTTATGCATTTGATAAAATGGTTAAAATATTTTAATAAAAAAATTCGGTCAATCAAAATCCCTCTTTTGAATGCTGAATATCCTATTGTCCAATAGTTTAAAACAAAAATGACAACTTTCAATCAGCATCAGCTCCCCCTACTCTGCATAATTACAATACATCATTACAACTTCAATTCTAATTTTCAATCTTTAGTACTAGTCTATTCAAATTTGTTAAAGAGAGCATTGTTGAAAAGGCTCAACACAAGCATGTATTGCCTTCAACACACCATCAACAAGCACCAAACAGTGGATAAATGATGACAATTTCAAAAATAAAACATTGAAACTTCTAAGAAGGGTGGTACAAACATAGAATGGAAACAGATATTGCAGAATTAAATGGAGTCCTAATTGAATAATCTTTCAAATATTGACAAAAGATATCTGTTCCCCCTTCCTAATTATTAGGCCAATAATAACAAATAGACCAAGTTAATGAATCAACCAGTCAAATAAAAAAATAATCTCTGAACTATTGAGTTTGAGCATAATCTACAATCAATACAGGAGCAGGTAAGAGAATTGCATCTCAATTATCCTCAGAACAGCATTCACATAGTAACCTATAAAATTATATATGTAACGGACTAACGGGTACTTATTAAATTGATTTTTTTAACCCTCAGATTCTGAAGTTTAGGTTCCAATTTAGCATGATTGGCAGATTCCTTTCTGCACTTATTGACGAAAGAAAGCTAGCAACTACTCAGATTAACCGAAAGAAAAAAAAAAAGGAACATTATAAATATGATACGACATACCTGGACAGAAGAAGAAAGATCAGAGAGAAGCCGAACCAAAGGAATGACAATCCTTTCATTCATAAAACAACCTGCACTCAAACTCTGAATGGCATTTTATGAGAATTAAGCTATACATAGCAAAAAAAGAATTCAAGTGCCATTGGTTGCAAGTTGCAGACCTTGACTGAGCGAGAGACACATTTTAAGCAAATGCAAGCTGCAGTGCGTACGTTGGCATCATCATGGGTTAAGGCATCAATTAATAGATTCAAGACCTGTATTCACAAAAAGTGTAGTAGAAGTTGCAGTGGACTTAGTATCCCAATACTAAGTTTACTGGTGCAAATTTTGCCATTACAAGATTGAGAATAAACACCAAATTGCCCATCATCCATCTAGAAGAAACACATTGCATTAATTCAATCATGTTCATGGTGGCATGATAAAAAAATCATATCATCAACAGATCACAAATGTCTAAATTCACTATCACTTATAAATAATTTAGCTCAGTACCATGGCACTTTGTTACAATCCAGTTAAAGGTGAGCAAAATTCTGTTCTTTCTGCCAGACTTTGTGGTACCATGTACCCATTAGTTGACACGTCAATAGCTAAGTGGTAGATAAACATGATATCACATTTAAGTCGTTTCTTAAGTATAAGCAAAGGTCATATTTACATGTAAACTCCTATATACATAATCTAAGCAAGAGCTGCTAGTAAGAAAATAGTATGAGCCTACTGACACTAATTACAAAAAATTTAACCATTTAATTGTGCGTACAATACACCTATAAAATTAAAATAGATAAAAAATAAATAAATAAAGAGTTCAAACAAACAATGAAAATTTCAAGACTGAGTCTTAAAAACCCCTAAACTATGGCTAACAGTTAAATTAAAATTGTTCTGGAAAATAACTATAGGCATACATAGACAGTTGAAACAGTGTATAAAACACACCTACAATTTGTTTTTTTGTTTTTTTTCTTTTAAAAAAAATAAAGACAATTGAGACCCCGAGTGTCAATTTCCAGACCGAGTCTTAAAACACCCTAAACTGTGGCTAACAGTTAAACTAAAACTGTTCTGGAAAATAATTCTAGTTCAAGACAGCCATTGACATGCAAAAAGAAAGAGATGCTTCATGCTTGTCAATTGTACTACAAAATAAAGAGAAACCACATTCACATATCCCAGAAAGACAGGCTGCCACAGAAAAGGAGGGACAAGAGAAAAAGAAAAACTCAATAATAACATTCTGCAGAAGGATAATTTCAAGTCTATTCATATCAGGATTCCTAACTTGTAATCCTGCCCTTTACCTCCAATCATGTATCTTCTGTAACTTTTCATCCTTCCATGTAGTTGTGTGAACCCCATTATAAGATGCTATAAGAAAAGGTGAGAAATTAAGAACCAAAACTCTAATGACTTGTTATAGAAATGGCTAACTACACCCTTTTCTTTTTAATTTTCATCTGATGTTTTTGCAGCAAAGAAGACAATCACATATGAGGGAGGGAAAACTAAAAATGGTTACTAGCAACAAATATATGAGATTTACTGGCAGTGTCCATGAAGCAACAGACCTGTAATGAAAGAAACTTAGACCTGCAGCACTCCAATTTTGAGCAAAGATCAGCCAAGGCTAGAAATATCCCTTCAAGACGTTTGGGATGTAAAGCACAATTTTGCAATTGACTGTAGAACTTATCGATAGCATTTGCCTCAAATGCCAACTTCTGCAAATCTTCCTTTCCTGAAACTAAACTCGAAAAAGCAAAAGAAGCTTCATCTCCAACTTCACCAGAATCATCAAGGAGCTCGAGCAAAATATATATCAATTTGTTTTTCATTCCTATGTCTTGCAGATAGCAAGAAGAAGAATTCTTTACACAAATCAGGCACAAGCAGGCCAGTAACCTTGTCCGAGAATATCTGTCCTTAGTTAATTCAACAATGGAACTCAAAGCTCTTCCATTTTGAAGGTCCACAAATTTAGACACAGCTTCTGGATTGTTTTTAAGAATTGCAGCTAGGGACTCTAAACTAGCATCTCGCTGGCTTATAGAACCATCAAGAAGGCTAATAAGATTCTCTAAAGCACCAGCACAGCATAATATTTTTTGTTCATCACTTGTCTCACAAGAATGAATAACAATGCTTGCACCTAGTCCAGTAAGATTTTCATTCTCACTTTTCAATAGTGAAAGAAGAAATTCAATGTTTTCTTCTTTAAAAAAATCATACTGCGGAGCTTGTTTTGATTGATAAATCATTCTTAAAGAGCGTGCAGCAGCATCCACAACCTGAAATGAAGGGAGAAAGTCTATTAGATGGCATTGGAAAAGATAAAAATAATAAAGAGGACACATATCACATGCCTCAGTAATAGTGTTTATGGAATAAGGGCAGATATGTCTTGTCCTACCTACTATGTGCCATAATAGAATAAAAGGCTAAAAGAAGAAGTCTTGAAAAGTATTCAAAATCCAGAGGTTATATAGAAACAATGACAAATGAACTTCCTGTAACCTCTGTCCATTCACCCTAGCACTAAAATATGATGAATAGATGGAAGCATGTAGCTTAAAACGGAATTGATATAAGAAATGACTTAGTAAATTATGATCACACCTCACAGGCTGAACTTCGATGAATGCCTACACACCATCACAACCAAGTCACAAAGATTATAGAAGCAATAGATCATAATACACCTATCTTCCCAGCTTATAACTGCTGTTTACCATAACCTCGTTGGCTTTTTGATATGTCATGAAGTGTTTGGGTAAGTTAATCACAGGGATTCTGCAACACCTCTGGTAATTATAAGCCACCATTTATTCAAATTAAGGGTGATCCTAACAGAGGTGAAAATTAAAGGAAGTACTGGTAATCAATGTATATTTGCTTCTGCCTCGTATATGAAGGCAAGTAAAGAGGTAAAGATGCAAGAGGAGTGGGTAAAGCTTTCATTTTCATTAATGAATTGTTCTTTAAGTGACACTCAAAATGAGAAAGTAATGTTAACAGTGCAAATGCCCAATTCCTGCAGCCAAACAAAATCATAATTTACCAGTTCATACATATATCACTCAAAACTGTTACAAATAAGGGTAAGTTGATAAACAATTGGACTCTATTTTAAATTTTACTACACAAAGGAAACCCTTCCTATTTCTCTCTTTCCAACAAAGTACCTATAGGTGAACTTTGCAATCACTTATCACTCCACTGCTCCACACTTCATACCCTTTCCATATCCAATCCACCCTATCGCACATCTCCTAAATGTCATAATCGTCACTAAGTAAGAAATATATGTAGTTTTTGCTGTTGCACTAGTAACAAGTAATACAAAAAAAATAAAAATTCAAGCAACAAAAGGAAAAAGTATATCCACAACTAGCGAAAGACCATAACCCTGCATACAATTCAGTCGAAGGGCAAAAAAATCATATAAAAAATATTTCTAAAATTCTAATATCTACAGCAGTCAACAAGAACAAGGAAGCAGAAATTACATTACTAAAACCGTAAGTATACTCTAGAAACGGTAGTTCAAATTAAGATAAGCATTTAACTATTTTCAAAGGAGTTATTTCATTCCTAATTCCCAATGTACCATCATAAGCAATATAAACAGTGAATTACATAATCTATATTTCATTAAAAAAATATCGCAGCACTCATCGCAACCTAGTGACCAGCCAACAAGTTCTGAGCATTGCAATTTCATCTGAAACACTAAATTCCAGCATACCAAACAGCCAAAAATAAAATTAAAAAAAAAAAAAAGGCGTTCCAATTAATCGACTTCACCTTCTCGTCCGCGGCAGATAGGAGCCTGATTAAATGAGGGAAAGCTCCGGCGTCGAGGACGGCACGGACGCCGGCATCGACGCCGCAGGCAAAGCTGCCGAGTGCGGCGGCGGACTGAACAATTAGGTTAGAGCCGCAATTGGAATCGGTTTTAGCTTCGGCGAGAGCAGAGGCAACGGCGGGCACTGCGCCGAGCTTGATGTATGAGAGCTTCTTTGTCCGGTTGCCGATGATCTGGTTCTTCACCTCTCGGATGGCTTTGAGCTTGATTTCGCAATCGGAGGAGGCGAGGCGGTGGAGGATCAGATCGGAGGGGCGGCTGGCGGGCATGGCGGTGGCTGAGGAAGCTCATGCAAGGCGGAGGACAAGACGCAGCAACCACCACATTTACGATCCCAGAGAAGAGAGATCCCTATATTTTTTTTATTTTTTCTTCTTTAATTTTGTATTGTTCTTTTGTTTTATTGTTTCTTACAACAGGAATAGGGTTAGGCGTGAATTTTTTATGGTAATGGATTGGACAATGGGAGTGTTCTTGAGTTTTTTTGACTAATTTGGAATTATCAGAATTTAGAGAGTGGCGCCCTTTTCTTTGAGTTTCCGCTTCTTCATTTTTATTTTTTTTATCAAACGTGCGGCTGTGAGACAATTGCATTTTTAATAATTAATTAAAAATGCTGATTTCGTTATGTTTCAATCAATGTTAAATCTATAAATTTTACTTAGTTTCTATTATTTTCACTTAATTTTATTATACGTTTATTAAACAAACCAATCTCGGTTTTAATTAAAAAATAACTAAGCTGAATTTTAAATGAAAAAAATTGCAAATGAAGGAATACTAAACATCCGACATCAGAAAATATTTTTGAGCCCGTTTGGACAAGCTTTTAAAAAAAAAATTATGGATTGTTTTTTTTAAAAGATAAAGTTATTTTATATTTGTATATATGATCTGAAAACTATTTTACATAAAAAAATTATTTGGATGTTAAAATTAAAAAAGAATTTTTTATATATAAAATTACAATAAATGAGAGATAAAATAGTATAATCGTGGGATAAGAAGAAATAAAATAGATATAATAAGATGTGGTTAAAATTGTATTTTAAAATTTTATATTATCTTCCAAAAAAAATTATATTATCTTAAAATTTCTGTTTTTTTAAAAAGTAACCAACTATTGGCTAAAAAAAACAGCATTTTAAATTTTTCTTTTTTAAAACATATAAAAATTTTCAAAAGGATTTTTATTTAAAAAAAATAACTTTTTTAGGAATAAAAATTCATTATACAAGCACAAAATTTGAAAGTATATTCGTAATCTTCCTATGTGCACATTTTTTTAATTAGAACTAGTTTTTTAAATTCTAGACGAGTACAAAATAAGATTTTAAAACAAATATTTCATTGATCAAGGCCTCTACAGGACGTCTTCAATTTTAATTTGTCAGCTCCTCGAAGTGAATTAAAAGATGGCAATTAAGATAGCAGGATTCAATACAATATATTTTACAAATATGAGGCAAGAAATTCGGGAAATTTTTAACATATTTAGTTGGAATGGAAGGCCTGATTGGTGTGATGTATAAAGCCTGATAGTATAAGCTTATATTATATGTTATGACATTTTCAGTTGTTTGATGTGATCATCGTATAGTATAAGCTTATACAGTAGGACCCATTTATACATCAAAATAATGTATAACTTAATTCGGCCTAGGAGTGGTGAATTAGGCATGATAAGGGGTTAATGTATTAATATTGATTACAAGTACAATTCTCAAGAACTAATATATCATTTCAATATTTATATATTAAAATAAATTTTTTAATATATTAATTTTTAAAATATTGGAGGATATTATCTTATACAATATCATACCAAACGCTGGATAGAAAAATTTAATCAGATCTTATACTATCAGGCCTTATCTTATACTATGCACAACGCAAATACATGGAAAATATGATATTCACATTGTAATTTATGGATAAAATTCTTTAAACTAAATTTAGTTAAGTAAAAAAATATATCTATTCATGATTTATTTTAAACGTATATACATGCTATTATTCATTCATATTAAAGTGAAACTTGAGAAATAAATTTCCAACTCAGAAGGATCTAATTAAACAAATGAGTACGCAGCCAAATTTGTCAAGTTCTGCAGATCTAACGGCCCCAACTTGCGCGAAATTTTAGAGGGGGGTCAAGATATAGATGATATATTTCTTTTTGCTAAATCTTGGTTTGTTCATTGATACTACACTTGTAGGAATGACGAAAGCAATTTTAAAACTAGTACATTTAAAACTCGAAAGCAATTTTAAAACTAGTACATTTAAAACTAGTATATATATATATATATATATATATATATATATATATATATTGGTACCTAAGCGCGTTTGGTACGCGGCATTTGACCGGATTCTCGAGAAACTGAATTTTTCTAAATTTTAAATTTTCGAATATTATCGTAAACTGAATGTAAAAATCATATTTCTGAAAATTGAGATTCCCGGACAAATAAAAATTTCTCCTGTACCAAACGCCCCCTAAGTTTCTTAGACTCCTTTCATACGTGGGAATAAATCTTATGTTATAGAAAAATTTTAATCTCATGTCACATATATATTAAATGTGAGATTCATTTATTTAAAAAAACAAAAAAAGAGTGACACATCTTTTTATGGTGTGTGTAGAAAGAATTTGTTTTCTCATGCAATATGAGAAAAACAAACCCCTGTATATATATATGGAAAAACATTTCTCAAACAGCTTGAGATATGTTTATTTTCAGCTACCCAAAATTACGTCATTTTATTTATTTATCTCCTTATATTAATTAATTCACCTTTGAATAGTTGTGATTTTTTTTTCTCTCTTCCTTTATCACCATTGATCCATCTTTGTACAGTTATAATTTAGTAGCCGGAGATAAGATTATCTTAAGCAGCTTCATATATATATATGGTTTTAATGTTTCTAAAGTGAATATAAATAAGTTATTTACATTCGTTCCCAAACGACATCGTTTTGGATTGAAAAATTAAAAAATTATAATAAAAAAGGATATTATAACCCTGAAATAAATTATAATTACAAAAATACTTTGATTTGCGCCCCAAAACGACGTCGTTTTGGGCTCAATGTAGATAAGTTATCTACATTGACAGTAGAAAAAGCAAACTCTATATATATATATATATGAGGTAGGATCCTTTGACACCGGTGTCAAATTTTAAATTTGACACCTCATCTTATAGCCGTTAGATCAAAAAATATCAATGGAGTCACATGCTTACAAATCAGAGTCGTTGATATTTTTTGATCTAACGGCTATAAGATGAGGTGTCAAATTTAAAATTTGACACTGATGTCAAAGGATCCTACCTCTATATATATATATACGGGGAGGGATCTTTTGACTCTAGAGTAAGACTTACAACTCTTACTCCTCATCTCAACCGTTGATTTCTGTCAATCTAACAGTTATCTATACCAATTAATTAATTATTAAATTCAAATAAATAATAACAGTTAGATGGACAGAAATCAACGGTTGAGATGAAGAGTAAGAGTTGTAAGTCTTACTCTAGAGTCAAAAGATCTCTCCCCTATGTGTGTATATATATATATATATACCAAAAAAACCATAGTTCTTAGCTTCTTCTTAGGCTTTACGTTTGTTAAACTCTTCTCATGCACTACAGTGACTACACTGAACCCAATTGGGCAAGAACATAAAACCAACAACACTGAGTTTGGTAAAAACGGAAAGGTTCTTTTCCACGCAATGTCGATTTCTTCATAATCATTCAATCAGGTCAAATGATTAGAGAGTAGAAGGGGAGATTTTCAGTAATAACACATACAGTGCACTGAGTGCAGCTACATTATCCAGGGTGTAGATATTTCAGTTCAAGCAGGGTAAACTGCTAGAGCTCCACATCAAGCACAAATCAAGTGCATTGTTCCACCAGATCATGGAAAAAAATACTGCAACTTAAATAAATAAAAACTGCCTCATTGAACATTGATATCATCTTCATCACCTTCTCCTGCCTCATTGAACATGTACTGATTTTGATATTCCATCAAGTACTGTGTTGATCTTTTGACATCCAAAAATAGATGGTAAACCCGATTAATATCCTCCAACTCCACTATTTTCCCTTTCCTCTTTTGGCATGCAAGTGCAGCTGCTGTGATGAGATGGATAGCATACCTCAATGATGTTTCTACACCTATTTTGGTTAACAAATGCTTCGCACCTTCAGACATTTCTACATCTTCCTCTTGGCATCTTATATCCAGAATCTTGCGAATCTCATCCTCTGTATAAGGTTGAGTAGAGATGATAAGCAAGCGATCAAGTAGATCAATGGGAATCCCATGAGGGGATTTGTAATTGGTGCCTCTAATAGTTGTAATGCCTCTGTTGGTAGCAACAACTAATATAGGGGCCATCTCATTCTCCAGAGCCCGGTTAAGGAAGGAAAAACACTCAATGTCAAGCATGTGCACCTCATCAATGAAAAGGACACCTGGCACAATCTCTGCCTTTCCTTCCTCTCTCCACTCTGCTACTTTGGTATCAATTTGTTCTCTGACTTCTGCACGAATTTCACCTGTATCACCAGTGAAAAGAGCCAAAAATCCCTGTGTTCTGAAAGTAACATAACAGAACCAAATGTTAGGACGACCTACAAAGCAACCTCTACGGCAATTATAAGCCTTTTCAACTAGTTAAAAGTGAACCTCCTTCAATGAAAGCATTAAGCATGTCATACAGAATTATACATTTCCCTTCATACAAAGCTTCATGCCAGTTTAAAATTGATTAACAAGTACAGGTTGGGACCCCACAGTGGGGGGTACGAAACACACAGACTATATCTAATCATAAAATTTTACCTGCAAAAGCAAAGGACACAATTCTCATTTACCAAAGCTTTCATTAAATATCTTGACCAATAGGATCTCAATTAAAAGAGTAATCAGTAGGGCACTTGCATATTCCAGGTTGGATAAAGGATATGGACAATGACCATAATGCTTGGCACAAAAATTGACCACCACGCTATGTAGGGCATCCATCCCTCGGTAAGCTAATATTCCACATCCACACAACATTTTCAACTACTGTACCGAGTTTCAGCCAACCTACCAAGCTTTCACTGAATCTTGTTCAAATAAAAGAAGTAATCTACTAATTAAAGAGAAAACTAAAAAAGGATCTTCTCAGTTCTGAAGATTCCCCTCTTAGCCATAGCTCCATTGATTACCCACAACTCCATAACATTTATACAACATAAGAACCAAGATTCTTACTAAGAGTTGCTATGATAATTTACTCTTGAAATTGCACACTGGAAGTATAAACGTAGATTTCCATAAACTTGTTTAAAAGGATTGAAATCCTACTCTAGCAGCAAATTAGAAGAAATGGAAAGAAAAAAAAAAGTGAAGAATGAACAAAAGTTTCAGGCTTTCAGCCTTGATTTGTCCACCAATTCAAGTATGAAGGCACATAGCAATACATTTTAGTTCTCCATCCTGATGAAAGATAACACTTAATGCGACCCTAAGTTCCGTAAATCCACCTCTATCTATTAAATTTGATTTCTTTTTACTTGAAAGTGGATTAATTTCTCATTGAACTCTCCCTCAAAGAATGACAATGTCATTCTTAACTTCTTTCATTTAACTTTTCATAGCTGTATTGCGATTATGAAAAACTGTAGACAGTTGCAGTAGAAAATAAGAGGTATAAAACAGGGCAATTCATTAATCTAAAACCAGCATTGCGACTAATAAGTTGATTTATGAATTAATTGAATAACAACATGCTAAAAGACAAACACAAGGAGTAAGCACAAAAATGGAACTCTGAACTTGAGAGAGAAAACGTTAATTACCTGCTATTAATAACATCAATCTCGTGAAGGGTGACGCAATGCACCACCTCCTTCCGCTTCTGCAACTCCCCATCAGGGCATTGCACGAACTTGACCTGAGGTCCCATGGCATCGAAATCCCTCGACCTCGAAAACGACCTCCCAAGCTTCGTGATCTTCCCAGAAGCCTTGTCTATCGCAATCACATCACCACTGCTCACCTTCTCCTTCCCCAGAGCTTCAATCATCTTCGCTCCCAAGTCATACACCGTCTCCATCTCCGTCGTCTTCAACGTCAACCTCCCCGTCTTCGACGCGGCACCGGCCACCGCCGGCCGATCGATTTGGACCTCCACAACCTCACCTTCAATCACCTCCGTCTCTTCCTTGATACGCACCCCAATGGCCTTGCGAAAAGCTTGCATCAGAGCTTCGGTTTTCGACATCTCGAGGGAGAAAAGCTCGCTGCCCGCGATCATAGCGAAGGGAGTTTCGAGGCCGAGGGACTTGGCCATGCCCATAGCAATGGCGGTCTTGCCGGTGCCAGGCTGGCCCGCGAGGAGGACGGCGCGGCCGGCGATTTTTCCGTCCTTGATCATCTGGAGAATGACGCCGGCGGCTTTGCGAGCCGCCGTCTGGCCCACCATGCCTTCGGAGACGGCGCGAGGCTCCAGAGAGGAGTCCAGGCCCAGCCCACGAATGTGGGAGTGTGCGCCTATTCGCTCTATTCGGGTCAGGTCGCGGCTTTCCGAAACCTTTAGCTCCGCCATCGTGCTACTGCTACTGCCACTGCCGGGAACGAAAGTTTTCAGCTTGCGAGGGGGTTTAGTTTTGTTTTAGGGTTTTCATTTTGGAAATTGTAAGAGTTATGTAACAGTAAAGAAAATTAATTTCCACACAACTTTCCGTGGACCTACAAATTTAAAAAGAAAAGAAGAGAAAGAGCCTCATTTATCGATGAAACTTGTGAGGAGTGTAGGAGAAAAAAAAAATCGTTCTTGTTGGGAGTAAGCTAGGGTTTTCATTCTACTGTGAGAGTTCTATGTATGGGTGGCAATTACTGACATGACCCGCTAACTTGACTCGAATCTGACATGAAATTTTTGTGTTTAGGTCAACTTGTTTACTGTTCAGGTCGTATTCGGGTGGAAGAAAAATGACACGAAAAAATTCGTGTCGGGTTCGGGTCAACCCGTTAACCCGCTCTGACCCGCAAATAGTTTTTGTATAAGGTTGTTATAGTCATTTTAGTGAGTGGTATAAAAGAAATAACATATACTTATGGTTTCAAACAACCCTTTTTCACTCATCAATGGCTTTTATTGAATGTATGTGCTTTTATTGGATGTAAAATCAGTGCCTAAATACAGGTTTTGAATGTGACCATCCTAAAACTCGTGTCAGGTCGAGTCTGTGTTAACATGTGTAATAATGGGTCATGGTTACATTATAAGGTTATTCGTGTCGGGTCGAGTCGTGTTAACATGTGTAATAATGAGTTATGGTTACATTATAAGGTTATTCGTGTCGTGTCGTGTCAACCCGTAAAATAAGCGGGTCGTGTTCGAGTTGAGAAATTTGACACGAATAATTAATCGGGTCGTGTTCGGGTTGAAGTTTTTTGTGTCGTGTGAAATTCGGGTCGGGTCAGGTTGATACGAATTTCCACCCCTAATTCTATGTGAGGACACTTCTAACTTCTAAAAAATATATATATATTATATTTGCGATCTATTTTTATTTACAATTTTTTATAATAATATTTTAATTGTTGATTTCTGTCAATCAATGATTATCATTTATTGCGAATTAATAATTAATTAATGAGTTTAACTTGTAAAAATAATGACCATTGATTGACGAAAATCAACAGTTAATATATGATTGTAAAAGGTTATAATTAAATATAAGTATAGCCTTCCTCTAAAAGAAATTCAAATTAGGTGTTTTATTTTTTGTACTAACATTTGTTTAATTACAATATTTTAAAGGTTTAATATCGCTCATGTTATAGGAGATAAAATTATCTCCTACACACATAAAAGTATGTGGGGCTCATAAATTTTTTTCTTCTTTTCATATAGTCTCACATGGGCTCCATACATTTTTTTTTTGTAACAATCCACACACTCATATGTGTGTAAGAGATAAATTTGCCTTCCAAAATTAATAAATTGAAGTTTATTTCAATATACTCTTTCTATATTTGATTGTGATTTAAAAGAAAAATATTGGTTTTTGGGGAGGTAGTCGATAATATTTTGGGATAATATTTATCTCCTATTATTATCCCTGAAGGTCCTAGACCTTTTGGATTCTTAGCGGCTTGGTTAACAAATGATGGTTTTGGGGAAGTAGTCGACAACTAGTGGCATAATAATTCTGACTGGTTTCCAGCTAAAGACAAATTTCATCTTGAGGCTTCTTGGTGGCATTATAATAGCTTCAAATAAACTCACAAGAAGAAAAGACAGATTAAGAGGAGACTTAAAAGAGTGGATGCTCTACTATGAGTCTCTAGAGTGTATTCACAAATCCCTTTGGCATGAGCTAAATGAATGTAGAGCTTTCTTGGTTTCAATGCTCTAGGTGCAACTCGCTTGCATTTGGGGATAGGAACTCTGAATTTTTCATTCCATCGCTATTGCTAGAATTAGAATAAACAAAGTGAAGAATCTTAAAAATGATGAAGGTGTTTGGGTGGAGGAACCAAAGGAGCTTAAATTACTTGCAGTTCAATTCGTTAAACACCTTTACTCCGAGGAGTCACAGGTTTTTCCTAGTCTTTGCATAAGAGGCTTGTTCTTGAACATTGCCAACCAAAATTGGAGAATTATTGGTGCTACCTCTGCTTTCCTTGAAGTTAAAAACATAACCTTTAGCATGAAATTTAAAGCTCCTGGTGTTGATGGCTTTTATGATGTGTTCTTTCAGTCACAGTGAAATAAAGTTGGCCTCTAGGTCTTTGACCTCATCAAGGAAATTTTTGAAGACCCCAATAAAGTGGCAGATATCAACCAAATTCTTATTTGCTTGATCCCTAAGGTTGAGAATCTTGAAGTTATTAGCCATTAGACCAATTAGCCTTTGTAACGATGTTTATAAGGTACTTACTGAGTTGTTAGCTTCCAAGCTTAAGAACCATATGAGTAATCTAACAATGCCTTATCAATATAGTTTTATTAAGGGGGGATATACTTTAGATAACATCATTATTAGCCAAGAAATTTTTCACTCTATGAGGACTGAGAGAGGAAAGAAAGGGTGGACGGCGATAAAGGTGAATTTGGAAAAAGCTTATGATAGACTTAATTGGTAGTGGCGGAGCCACGTTGGGGAATAGAGGGGCCTTAGCTTAGGCTAAATTTTGAAAATTAGCCACGGTTTCAACGTGGCTAAAGAAACGTGGCTAGTTTGCGTGCTTGTTTTCAAAACATTGACCACGTTTTAGCGTGGCTAAATAACCGTGGCCCAGAGTAAAAAAAAACTTGGCACGAGCTGAGTTGCTACGCTGGCTTCGCCACTGTTAGTTGGGCTTTTCTAAAGTATACTTTCTAGGTGGCTGGCCTGCTTGAATCTTTGGTTGATCTTATTGTGGCCTGTGTGTTTTCTGCTACCATGAATCTCTTTTGGAATGGTGCTCAAATGGAGGAATTAAGTCCAACTGTGTCAGACTCTAAATTGTACTTATTCGTCTTACTTGGGAAAATATTTAAGGGTTCCCAGCATGCACAAGAAAGTGAACAAAAATACCTTCAAACACATCCTTGACAAGACTAATAGCAAACTTAATACTTGAAAAGAAAAGACCACTTCTATGGCAGGGAGGGTAGTGCTTACAAATCTGTCCTATATGCCCTTCCCACTTACTCCATGTGAGCTTCCTTGATTCCCCTTTGAACCTATAATGCTATGGAACAAAAGATGAGGGTTTTGTGTGGGTGTAAAACCAAGAGCCTAGAAAATTACATGCTTTACCTTGGAATATTGTTTATAAGGCCCAGAAAGATAGAGGTATTGGTATTAGAAGCCTGAGGCAAACCAATAAAGCTTATCTCACGAAGATTAGTCATGGAATGCTCTCCCATACAAATAAGATATGGGCTAGGGTTTAAAAAAAAAAGTACAAAGTGGAGGATAGGCTATTTCCTAACATTGTAAAGAAACCTGGAGTCTCAAACTGTGGCTTAATATCTTTTGGGTTTGGCCCAAAATTTATAAAGGGTCAAGAATCGTGGGTGGGAATGGTATTACCACCTCTTTTTGGAATGAGAAGTGCCTTCACATTGGCCCCTTCATTAATTACATCATTCTGCCCATACCTTTCGAGCTTTAAACTACTGAAATCTCTTAAATGGTTGACCACTATGGAGAGTAGAAATGGTAGGATTTTAATACTTTTCTAATGCAGGAAGCTCTAATTTTGTTGCAGGTACTTGCCCACCCTGTACAGAGAATGGAGATAACCAAGTGATTTGGGATCTATCCCAAGATGGTAACTTCTCCATCAAATTAGCTCTTAGTAGTTACACTAACGAGGGTCCAACTCAGCCTCAATCAAATTGGAATGTTGTCTGGGATTGGGATAGCCCTCCTAGGATCAAGTTTTTCCTATGGTTATTACTTGGAGAAAATCTTCTCACAAATCAGCAGAGGCAACAAAGACATTTGACTGATTATGGTTTATGTCAAGGTGTAACTCTCTCCCTGGAAGCTGCCTCTATATAATGAGGGATTGTGGTTCCCTGTTTGTTTGGAAATTATTCATCGGTCCATAAAAGTTGCACAAATTTAACAACTTTCATCTTCAAACTTGGCTTGAATCGACCCTTCACCCAAAGCTATGTTGGGAGGTGAGGAGGCTCGTTGTACATAATGCAAGGAAAAATCAATGGCGAAGAAGCCAATTTTGTCTGAGATGGACCCATTGTGGAACTGTGGCACAAGCAACTCGGCCACATAAGTGAGAAAGGACTCCAAATTCTAAATAAGAAATGAATATTGACCGGGTTGAAATGCCAAGTCCTGGAGAGTTGTACACATTGTCTTGCTAGAAAGCAGTACCGAGTTTCATTTATGAGACCGAATCAACCCAGACAACACATGTATGTTCTTAACCTCGTCCATATTGATGTCTGCTCCATGTCGGAGAGATCACTTGATGGAGCTCAATATTTTGTTTCATTTATTGATGACCACTCCCGTAAAGTGTGGGTATATTTGTTGAAAACTAAAGACCAGATACTCCAATCATTTAAGGAATTCCATGCAATAATGGAAAGCGAAACTGACAAGAAATTGAAGGTGATCTGATCTGACAACCGTGGTGAGCATTGCGGCCCATTTCATGCTTACTGTAGAGCGGCCAGGATCCGACTTGAGAAGGCGACCCCGAGACTCCGCAACTGAATGAACTTGTTGAAATGATGAAACAGACTATTGAAGATAAGGTTCGAAATATGCTATCTAATGCCAGATTGCTGGAATCATTATGGGATAAGTTGTCAGAACTGTTGTTGACTTGATCAACCTCTCACCATCACGATCACTAGAAGGAGAAATTCCAGATGAGGTATGGATAAGTTGGAAAATGACCTACGGTCATTTGAAGATGTTTGGATGCCGAGCTTTCGTGCATATTTCTAAAGACAAAAGGGCGAAGCTCGTTGCAAAGATGAAGGAATGCATTTACCTCGATTCATCGAGATATGAGTTCGGGTTCAGACTTTGGGATCCAATCAACAAGAAGATAGTGAGAAGCTGAGATGTAGTTTTTCATGAGAACGAGACTATTAAAGACATATCGAAACCCAAAGTTTGGGTTGTTGTTAGAAAAGAAGAACCTGACTTTCCTGTCCAAGCTGAAGCACGGGGAGAAAATCAAGAGAATGATAAATGTATTGAAGACTGAGGTCCTTAGGAGCAATATGTTGATGATGAGGTCCAAGATCCTGCGATCGGAT